TTATGCCATCTGCAGCAACATGGATGGACCTAGAGATGACCACATTTAAATGAAATAAGTCAAACAGAGTAAGACAAATATCATATGACATCACTTATATGTGGAATCTAAAAAAATGAGACAAATGAACTTATTTACAAAACAGAAACACACTTACAGACATAGAAAACAAACTTACGGTTACCAAAGCAGGAAAGGGAGGGGAAACGGAAAAATTAGGAGTTTGGGACTAGCAGATACAAACGACTATATACAAAATAGATAAATAACAAAGTCCCTCTGTAAAGCACAGGGAACTATATTCAATAGCTTGTAATGACCTACAATGAAAATATATGTATGTATAACTAAATTGCTATGCTGTACACCTGAAACTAACACAACACTGTAGATCAACTATACTTCAACTGAAGAAAGAAAGAGTGTATCCTGTGTCTGGGTTTGCCCTGGTGGTAGTGGGGTTCCAGCGTGGGCCACAACCTCAACCACCTTCCCTACTGAGGCTGGTGCTGATGCCTCACGTGTCCACAGTAAAGACGCACTCCTATGGGTGAAGCAGGGTCTTAGCTGGCTCCTCCTTTCAAGGCTCCAGATGGCTAAGGATGAGGGCAGGTGGCAAAGGAAGGAAAAGGCACAGACCACACGTCTCACAGCCACATGCCCCTGCTGAGACTCAGGCCCGGTGCTTGGCACCTCCACTGACTCAGAGGTATTTCACTGACTAACACTGAAACAGGAAAATTTTTAACAGCCTCACAAGTCGATACTCAAAAAAATCCCTGAGATGCGATGATGCCTGGGGAGGACTGGGGTCACCAGGCTTCTAGTTCTTCCTTCACCTAAGTTGGAACCAACGTTAAGTTAGACTTCCTGTTCTGGGGCCCAAGCTCATTCAGAGGATTATTGCCTAGTGGTTAAGAACAGGGGTCCCACAGTCAGGTAGGCAGGAGTGTGAGGGTCATTCACCCACCTCCTACTGGCCACGTGACCCAGGGCCAGTCACCTGCCCTCTTTGGAGCTTTCGTTTCCTCTCCGGTTGCCAACCAAGCTGTTGTGAGCGTTAAGTGAAATGAGGCTATAAAACAGTGAGCCCTAGGTGTGTGACACACTGAGCAGGGGCTGCGTTTACCTGCACATTCTCTTCGGTCACTTCAATCTCGGCTGTATAGATGTAGTCAATCAGCTTACTCAGCGTCCGCCCATCCACATCCTTGATTTCTATCTTCTTGGCTTTACTCTCAGACATGTCACCTACAGTTCAAAACGAAAACAAAATGGACATGAATGTGGTGCCAAGGGTGTATTTAACTTTCACATGGCCTCCTGCCCTGTCTTGGCGACATAAAAGCACTGCCCATGCTCCCAGAGGCCACAGAAGGAACTCAGGCATGGAGGCGGATAAACCAGCTGACATCAAGGTCACATCAACTTTGGGTCTTTGATCACCCACAAACCCAGTTTTAAGCATTCCTCACTCTATCTGTTGCCCATTTCCATTCTAAAGGCAAATATGTCTACAGCAAAGCATTCAACCAACAGTTACTGCAAACTTGTACACGCAGGGCCAGGAAAGTGAACAAGATATGCACGTGTTCTCAGAGAACCTGGTCCAGTAGGGCATAAAAATATATGAGATGGTAAGAACTTACTAGAGGTCTATGCAAAGTACCAGTATAACAACAATTTTTAAAAAACCGTTTATTGAGTGCTAACTATGGCCAAGCACTGTGCTGAGCACTTTAAACTATTGTCTCTTTTAATTAACAACCTATGAAGGTTATCAATATTATCCCCATATTACAGATGAAGAAACTGAGGCACAGGACTGTAGTTAATTCATTTTGCCCAGAGTCATACATCTAGGAAGGAGCCAGGCCAGGATTGAAAGCAAGGAGTGTGACTCTAGAGCCCACACTTGTAATTACTAAATTATACTAAATCCTAAGGAGGCAGAAGATAGAGAAACAAGCCCTCTCTGACGAATCCAGGAAGGCATCCTAATAGGAGGGCACATTTGAACTGGATATTCCACAGGCAGCAAAGGTGAGGAGGGGTAAGCTGGATACAGGAACCACAAGTGCAAAGATAGAAAATTACCAAAACATTTATCTGGAGGGAACTCTAATTCGAAAAGATACATGCACCCCAGTGTTCACAGCAGCACTATATACAATAGCCAAGACATGAAAACAACCTAAATGCCCATTGACAGGTGACTGGATAAAGAAATTGTAGTATATACATATACATTTACATACAGTAGAATACTACTCAGTCATAAAAAAGAATAAAATAATGACATTTGTAGCAACATAGATGAACCTAGAGATTATTATACCAAGCGAAGTCAGTCAGAAAAAGACAAAACCATATGATATCACTTATATGTGGAATCTGAAAAAAAAGACACAAATGAACTTATTTACAAAACAGAAATAGACTCACAGACATAAAAAACAAACTTATGGTCACCAAGGGGACAAGGGGTGGGAAGGGATAAATTGGGAGTTCAAGATTTGCAGATACTGACTACTATATATAAAATACATAAACAACAAGTTTCTACCATATAATATGGGGAACTATATTCAGTATCTTGCAGCAACCTATAATGAAAAAGAATATGAAAGTGAATATATGTATGTATATGTACGACTGAAACATTATGCTGTACACCAGAAATTGACACATTGTAAACTGATTATACTTTAATTAGAAAAATAAGTAAAAAAACTCTAAAGTTAAAAAAAGAAAGAAAGAAAGAATAGTGCCAAAACAGTAAGTTTTGGGAACAGTGAGAGGCCAGTATGGCTGGTACATGTGGTGACAGTGAGAAGGAGGCCGGAGAGGCAGATAGTGGCCAGGACTTGCAGAGCCCAGTAAACCATGCAAATGAGTTTGGACTTTATCCTAAGAATAGCACCACTGAAAGGTTTTAAAGGGGAATGACATCAACAGATGGGTGTTTTTGAATGAAATTTTGGATGCAGGGTGGAAGCTGGATCAGAGGCAGGGAGAACAGATGGGCAGCCCTGATAATAATCCAAGAAAGAGAGGACACAGGCTTGTGAACTAGGGCAGCAGTGGCACCACGTTCGCACAATCCGGAGGGCCCCGACTCCAGCCTGCCCTCTATATACAGTGCACATGTTTACCTAGAGATGGGCTCATTCAACAAGGGCTGCTGAGTTCAGAAGGAAAAGACAGGCAAGACATGCATCTTTATAGGCTGAACGAAAGGGTAACATGACTGCAAGAAACAGGGATTCAGAAGTCCTAATGTGAGTGTGAAAACAGAGCCTGGGCAGTTGTTTTCTCTCTGCGGAATTTGTCCCTGGGAGCCAACAAAATAAAGTACAGTACAGCATGTGGGCTGCAGACGCCCACCTCCAAGCTGCACAGACTGCACGTGATTGTTCCCCCAATCCACAGTTCCCATCCTGCACAGTTCTAGATATGAATGATGCTGAGCAGGGAAGAAAAAGAAGGAAAAAACCTATTCCAAACCCTGCCAGCTCCCTCCGCTGCCAGATCAGGTAGACCAGAGACATCTCCCCCTACCTGACTCTGTTCTCTCTTCTGACTGCTGGTAAAAGCCAGTAAAAGGCCTTAGCACAAAGAGCTCTGAGACGGAACAAAGAGGCCAAAAGGAAACAGGAAAAGATAGGTTTCTCCGCTACCCATGAAACAGGCTCTCACAAGCTCTCTGTTGAGTTTACACCAAGACAAATGAGAACATACACACAAGGAAATCAGAAGTTAAATCCATCTCTCTAAACAGCCATTAAGATGTCTATTAATAAAAGTCCAGTTGGTAATTATATCACAAATGATCATCAAAGGTGGCCAATTCTTAGTTTAAGAACTTGGGCCTTAGGACAAAGAACGAAAAAAAGAGCAACCCGACTGCAAGAACCAAGAGACGCAGAAGCCCTTAGTAAGTGTGAAGCACAGCCTGGCCTGACTGTTTTCTGTCTATGGAGTTAGTGCTTGGGAGTCAGGTGAGGGTTTGTAACTTGGGGTAAACAAGCAGAAACTCCTGAAATTGCATGAAAATATTTGTATATGTGGGCCAAAGTTTGATTCTCTTGGGGATGATAGATCATTTTCATCAGTCTCAATTGTCCAGAAAACATTAAGACACATTTTTCTAAATGATGGAAATTTGGGAGATTTTTTTTCTTGCTTCTTTACATGACTCAGAAATTTCTAATTTCTATATTAAGTGCTTAAAATTTCAGTAAGCAAGGAAAAAGTCTGGAAAAAAAAAAAAAACCTAGGTCTTCAAAGACAATGTTTATCCTCTGAGAAATGTCCCTTATAGGAAATTGGAGACCTATACAAACCAGAAGGACTTGTAAAATCCCATTTAATATCTCTTATAAACCAGGAGAAATTAGTGCACCAAACTAAGACGTCAGCTTCAATAGACCTAAAAGTGTAGTAATAATTGTTGTTGTAGGGTGGAAAGGGATAAATTTGGGAGTTTGAGATCTACAAGTGTTAGCCACTATATATAAAAATAGATTTTTTTAAAGTTTCTTTTCTATAGCACAGGGAACTATGTTCAATATCTTATAATAACCTTTAATAAAAAAATGAAAATGAACATAGACTGGGATTTCAAAATTGTAGTATAGATAAACAAGATTATACTGTATAGCACAGGGAAATATATACAAGATCTTATGGTAGCTCACAGAGAAAAAATGTGACAATGAATATATATATGTTCATGTATAACTGAAAAATTGTGCTCTACACTGGAATTTGACACAACATTGTAAAATGATTATAAATCAGTAAAAAAAATGTTAAAAAAAAAGAAAATGAACATACGTATGTATAGGCATGACTGGGACTTTGTACTGTACACCAGAAATTGACACATGGTAACTGTACTTCAGTAATAATAATAATAATAATAATAATAATTGTTGCTATGTACCAGGCCCTCAGGATTTACATACATTATTTCATTTAATCCTAGTAACACCCACAGGAGGTACTAGTATTACTTCCATTTGACAAATTATAGAACTGGCATTTCAAGAGGCATTCGCACATAGCTAGTAAGAGGCAAGACTGGGATTTGAAAATTGGCCTAACTTTAGACTTCATGTCATTTCTAATAAATCCCTCTATAATGTAAACCAGACCTTAACTAATGACCTTGATAAAAGTATTTCCAAACAAGGCCTATGTCCACATGCTGAGGACAACTTATACTAAATACCTACAAGTAAGAAAGAAGGGAGATGAGATCTTGTCAAGTTTATTGTCAAGATATCCTCAACACCTAACAAAGTGCTTGGCATATAATAAGCACTTAACACATACTTGTTGGAGCAGGGAAAGAAAGAGAGAGGCTTTCTCTTGACATCTCGTTAGATCCACAGACTTCCATAATTCTGGAGGGGGAGAAATCAACAAAGACTTGGCCATTCTTGTTCCTTCATTCACCTTGACTACTTCAGCAAAATATTTCTAGCAAACAGAACATAAGCCCTATAAGTCCTTCTATATTTAAGGTCAACCCAAGCATCCTCCTCTGCTGGTTTTTCCCAAGAGGACCAGCCTAGCTACCTCAGACTCTGAACTTTCAGAAAAGAGGAAATGCTAATGGCGAACAGGCACATGAAAAGATGCTCAGTATCTCTAATCATCAAGGAAATGCAAATTAAAACTACAATGTGATACCACCTCACACCTGTCAGAATGCTATCATCAAAAACAACACAAATAACAAATGTTGGAGAAGGTGTATAGAAAAGGAAACCCTCATACACTGTTGGTGGGAATGTAAATTGGTATAGCCACTATGGAAAACAATATGGAGGTTTCTCAAAATACTAAAAATAGAACTACCATATGACCCAGAAATTCCACTCCTGGGTATATATCCAAAAACCCCCGAAAACATTAATTCAAAAAGACACATGTACCCCAATGTTCATACTGAGCTACTCTACGTCCAGACCAGTCTACCCTAGATCATCTTGGTCAAACCAGCTGCACCTTAATAGGTGCTGGTGGGTGTCTGGAATAGTGGTTTCTCTTCCGAGGTGCTACACAGGCCTGTGTTGAACTGCACCCAAATTAACTCTTGAAAAAACTCACCATTTCTACAACAAAAGCAATTGTATTTTTAGACATGACTACCGTACCCCTCATCCTTAAATCTGGGACTCTTAAGCCACAAAAGGAGGCCTGACTTTGATGTGGTGTGTTGGGGACAGGAAGAAGAAACCATACGTCACTACAAGCTTCTGCCCCGAGGTAACCAACTCCAAAAGACAGTCACGTGGAAGATGAAGCCATTTCTCCTAAATCCCAAGCAGTCTCTGATGCTTCCAACCCTTTTTTTTTCTGAGCTATTCTATCCAATCTGTAACTCTAATCTCAGGGGCAAAACTGTCAGAAACCAGACCCTAGCTACTGCTACTATTCTCTCAAAACCCTCTTTATGCTAAGGATTCTATTCCTTAGTGCTCCCTCCCTGCCTGCCCCACTGCCTTGGATTAAGTATTGCTGAACTGTATGTTATGCAGAGATCTTCAAAGACATCAATACATCATACGAACACTCAAAACACAGATCTGGACCAAGGCCTGGCAGAATATGGCACAAAGAAAGTGTGACGTGGTTATGTAGGATAAGTGCATACCTGGGAGGTGAGCAAAAGAGCCAGGCCTTCATTGTTCTGTTTGTGGATGGTTAGTGTCCTCTCCAGTTCCAAGACCCTTGCCTCTTACCTCCAGCACATTCCTGACTCTCCTCCCTATTTGTACTCACCATATGTTCAAAGACATGAGTTGAATCTCAGCCTACATCTAATAAAAACTAGACAGTAACTTTTCTTTAAAAAACAAAACCAATCTAATCAGCCTCTGTACATAGTACAATACAATCAGAAGAACAGGGCAGTTCACTCCCAGGGTCGCTTTCAGGATGGAGCTCAAAGTCCTTTAGCCATGATGATAGGCCTAAGACCCTGAGCCCATACATTCTTTAAAACTCGGTGTCTTTAACACCATAAAATGGGATTCTTTTTCAAGTATTTGGATGACATGTGGGGACCAATGTGGAGTACACATACTATAGTACACAGATCCCTTAGTAAAAGATGTGATAAAAAGAGGGAAAAAACTTGGGAAAATTATCTTCCCCTGGGATGGAGGGGCTAGATGGGGAGGATGGGTTGAGGGGAATCTTCAGTTTTTACACTCACAGGGAAAAGAGCAGAACCAGCACCACCAGCCTCTCCAATCGCAAATGCTAAAGGAGTGGGAGCCATTCAGCTGACTGCCCAGCCCAGATCTTCTCAAGGGCTGGCTGCCTTTGGACACTCCCCTGTGGGCATTCACACCTCAGTTCCACATTTATTCCAAGTTACTCTGGAAAGGACATGGTCAGGGAGTGGGGCTCATATGTGGAACCATCAGAGGACATTTGGGCAATATGAACTCAGAGGACAAAACCAAAAAATAAACACTTTAAGCCTGAGTGAAAGATCTTAATCACATCACTCAAGTCAGAAGAAAGTCACACGTATTTTCTTTTCTTTGGAGCCTTAAACACGCTGATAGAAATGGACTTAACAAGAGTCAGCTGGGCCTTTTTGTTACTAATTTTATGCATTTTGAAGCTGAACCTGATAATTAGAATAAAATTTTGCAAAATCACTTTTTCTTCTGTACTTGTTTACCAAGGTTTAACCAAAACCAAGGGTCTCCAAAACCACACACGTCTCACATACTGCTGACGGAAATGTAAGCTGGTACAATAGTTCTAAGAATTGTGGAGTTGTAACATGTGTTTCACAAGTCTTCAAAATGCGCATACCCTTTAACTAGTATTTCTTATGCTAGGGACCTATACTAAGGAAATAATCAAGAATGTAGGTAAAGACTAAGTTGCAACGATACCCATTTTTGAATTATTTATAATAGCAAAATACTAGAAAGAATTATAACTTCCAATAAGGAAATGGATTTTCAATTAGGATACATATGACAGGCTCTTATGAAACCATTAAAATTATGATGTAAATGTGATTTCATTGACATGAAAATATATTGACAATATATTGCTAAGTTCAACTAAGCAAATTTTCATTGAGCACTTACTATATGGAAGATTACACTAGGCAGGGGGGACACAGTAGTGAATTTAAAAGGTACAGTTTAACACCAGATATTGACACAATATTGTAAACTGACTATACTGCAATAAAAAAGAATGCAAAAAATAAAATAAAATAAACTCCTAGAAGAAAGCAAAAAAAAAAGTACAGTTTTTACCCTCATAAAGCTTATGACTAACCAGGGAAATCAGACAGTGAGGGAGTAATGAGATAAGTAATAACACTAAAGAGAAGCATCAGGTACCACAAGAGTAAATGTTGTATTATGTGTAATTTTTGGTTTTGCCTGCCCATATTTTCTATTTTTTTTCTGCAATGAACATATGTGAATAGTGTTTGGATGAGTAAGTGGACAGGTGGGTGGGTGGACGAACGGATGGAAGGATGGATGGTAACCAGATTCAGCGGAAGGCTTTGGGTGGGCATCACATTAGACTGCTTTCTTCTCTTGAGTCTCTTCTCCCTTCAAATAGTAGACTCCAAAACCTGATCCAGAATCATCTTTTCTCTCCCTTTTTAAAATCACCTTGTTTTTGCTTAGACATTTCTACTACCCTAGAGGCAAGTTTATTAGCATAAAGTGAAGACAACAGTACATTTCACTGCAATTCCAAACAGATTCCTCTCTCAACACTGGACTTTTCAAACCACACACACAGAAAATGACTGGCAGAGCTATTTATCGAAGGTGCAGCTGAATAGCTATGCAGACAAATTATTTTAAAAGAGAGACAGATGAAGAAGAGGGAGAAAAAAGAAATCAAAGCCTTACTACTAGAGTTGGAGACTACTCCAAAGAGAATGTGGCTCAAAATTTCCAGGTCGTCAAATGAGCTGGTTTTCCAGGCTGCGCCGTGGAATTCCTGGCCCAAGGCTCCAAGTGAGGAAGAGTGCCTTGGTCCACTTAGCAGAAGCGCTGCTCAGGGTTGAGACCAGCTCCTTCCCCTGATAAGCTGAGGGGGACACACATGTGAGGAACTCTCAAAACACAAGTGCTAAGTCTCCCCCAACAAGAACCACTCTTGCCTACCAGAGGCCGTGGACTACACTAGTAAAAGGGTAAGAGTCTGTTCAGCAAAGATATGCCTGCACTCACCATTCTTTGCCATCTCATATTTATTCGTGCAACCTTCACTTAGCCACTGTCTCCTGAACACCAGGCCTGGTGGTGGGCACTAAGGATTCAATAGTGACAAGACGTAGTCCCCAAGTGCCCAAAGCTCACAATCAAGGGTGGGAGGCACTTTGTTCATTTGGAAAGTATTTTAGTCCTCTTATGTACCAGAGCTCAAGAAATAGTAACAAACAAGTCCAGCAAGATCCCTGTCTTCATGGAACTTACAGTCTAGTAAGGAGAGAGAGGAAAAAATATATATAAACAAACAGCCAATGTGATTTTCAGATAGTGATAAATATTATGAAAAAAACAGTCGAGTTATGGATCAGAAAGAGACCTACTGGGGGACTCTGGCTCAGGTGGTCAGAGAGGAGGCAACACGTGAACAGCCAACTGCAGGTTGAGAAGCAGTGGGTACGTGAGATGCCAGAGCATGGGCAGTGGAGACACCAGGAGACAGACGAAGAGTACAGAGTGACAGGGACCACACTTACAGGAAGCACACGTTACTTGGTGAGCATGTGGAAGGGACATGTGACCTGGTCTGGGGGCCTCACCCAGGCTGGCTGGCCTTCAGTCAGTAGGGATGATAGGGCACTGTTTGCCCCTGGTTCAGGGGTGCTGCGAGGTACTAAAGACAAGAAATCCAGCCCACGGGGTTCAGGGAACTCCGTCTCAGAAGCAACAGACGTGCAGTAGTCAGACAAGGCTATTTGGGATGCCCAGGAAACGGGGACTCCCTGGCAAGGTGGCAAAGGTGCTGAAACTGAATGACAGATGGTGACTATTCCTACATCTTACTTTCCCCACCCCTTGCCGCACTACCACTTCTCCCAAGTCTCTCCCACACTCCTGGAAAGGCTAGAGGAGGCTCAAGGCCCCCACCTGGAAGGAATGGCTAAGGAATGACAAGATGTGGGCCAGCTGGGCCACCGCTGGGCTTGGCATCCAGAAGCCAAGTTCCACTCATCCATGTGTGACCTCAGGCAAGTCTCTTCCTTTTTCCCAACCTCAGTGTCCCCCATCTGTAAAATGAAAGAGCAGAAGCTCGGGGATGAGCCCATGGGTCTACATGTCTAACAAGCCCCCTACATGATTCTGATGCATGAGAGTCTGAGAATTCATGAGCTATACGAGTCTATCTTTTTTCCTCAGAGTGAACTGCAACAGGGGCTGCGTGCCTGACTGGCCCGGCTGAGACTGTTGTTTCAACACGGTTCTCTGCAGCTCCACGAAGCAAAGCACAGACTCTGGCACCTATAAGCTCCTCGTGGTGGGTATCACCACCTTCTCCTTCCTCCCCACCCTCATGCCATCACTCTTGACATCCTCCCAGTGGGACTGCAGCCCCATCGCTGTGGGTTACTGTCCACCCCTCATCTTACCTGTGAACATGGCACAGAAGTAGGGGCTGCAGGCCGCCAGCACCACACGATGGGCTTCTATCTCCACATCTTCTGCCACAATCATCACGTCACACAACAGCTGTTTGCTGTAAGACACCAGTGAGGGGACAGAATGGGTCACAGCACCAATACCCATCCCCAGCCATACCAGGGTATTTTTCTCTCACGCCCACATTCTGCTGTCATATGCACTTGCCAGATCTTGAGTTAGGCAAGGGGATGAACTCCTCAACTCTTCCACTTCCCTAATGAGTGTAACAATCATGCTTTCCTAAGGCACTCAACTCTGCAGCTGCAAATCCAGGGCTCCTTCATTTGTCTTTACATCTCTGCTCCCCAACTCCACCAACTCTGACTGAGATAGGAGGACAGCAGCTCAGGGAGCAGTGGGAAAAGCTTCGGACTATTAGTCGAGTGACTGAATGACTGCCAAGGAGCATGAGCACGCCACTGAGATGGAGGGACCCACTGCCTACGAAACACTGGTCAGAGGCCAGCCAGATCTGGAGGACTCAAGTAGGTATCTCTTCCCACCCAAGTTTAACACTATCACCAAGCAGACTCCACTTGTACACACAGGGCTCCCTAATGACCCGGTGCAGACTCCAATCACTGCAATTATTAAGAAAACTGCAACCACTTTTTTAGTTGTTTGTTATCCCCACTACACTGTGGACTCTGAAAAGGACTTGTTTACTCTGATGTCCTAGACATATAGCTGCACGCATAGCACACAGTAGGCCCTAAAGGTTTACTAAATAAATGAGTTAATAAATGAATGAATTTTTAAATAGGATTGATCCACACTCATAAACAGAATGAATATTCGACTATTCCGGAGACTGAGAAGGTACCAAAAGCATCTAACAATCCAAGAATTTTTTTCCTCCACCAGCCTTTCAAATACTTATCATGGCTATTATCAATACAATAGTTAACGCTTATTGAGTTATATGTGCTAGGCACTGTTCTAACCACTTTTTAAATACATATTATTTCATTTAATCCTCTCTACAATCCTACGAGGTAGGTCTAATGTTATGCCCCATAGTACAAAAAAAAGGAAACTGGGGCCCAGAGAAGTTAAGTAACTTTCCCAAGGCCACAAAGAAAGGGAGCAGTAGAGACAGAACTTGAATATAAGCAGCTGAACCCCAGAATCCATGCTTCTAATTTCTATGGTATCCTGGTCCCTCCTTTAGATTAAAGCACTAGAGGCGGGAGGGAAGCCAAGGAGGACAAACACATGTCAACCATAATGCACTGGTGGTGGTTACTCAGCACACTGTACTGGATTGAGAAGTCTAATGTCATGACTGGGTTCCATGTGAGAGTGATGAGATAAACAAGCACACGGAATAAGGAACCAGTGAGAGGGTTCTGGGAAGAGTGAGACCTCTGAGCACCAAGAGGCAAAACCTGGAGGTGGGACCTCATCCTGCAGTGAAAAGTGTATCCTAATGCGTGAATTTTATCAGAATAAATCAGCTCAACTGGGGACAGAACTGACTCTGCCCCCTAACTGGCTATATGAACAGGGACAAATGACCTCACCAGTTTTCTCATCTTTCTTAGCTGTCTTGGGATATATATCATGGGGACCAAAAGAGACTGCAGGCACCACCTGAGAATAGTCTTGTTTCTCATCTGGATAAAATGTGTTGTAAAAAATAAATTTTCAACATGAATAGACTCATCTTGGATATTTTCACTTCTATTAAAGATTTTAGGGAAAAATGAAGTTATTACTGCTACTTAAAATACAAGTAATTTTTTTTTGGTAACCAGTATTTTAATAAGCAAAGTGTTGACACAGATTGGTCAGAAGTGCTAAGCAAATTTTCAGGGCTAGGTGCTGAACAGGCAAATGTCATAGTGGGATATCTTACACAAAACCAAAAGAGCTGATACTTTGTGAACAAATGGGGAAGAAACCAGAAGGAATGAAGAATAAAGATGGAGAATCCAGTTAAGCAAATAAAAGAGCGATTCTGAAAGGCAGGAAGTGTATCTCAAGACCAGAGAAACTCTAACCTGGAAAAGTGACCAAGAGAAACTTGCCCAAAACTCAAGGTAGGCTTTCCCTGGTGGTGGGAAACCTGTCTGCACACTGGAGACATCTCTGTGTCTCCACTCTGCATGGCAAAGGGAAGCTGCAACTCTAAAAGCACTGCATGGCTCTAATTCCAATTACCAGAGAGCCTGAGGGATCCTTTTTTCTGAACTATCACACACTACTCCAAGGGACAATCTTGAGGAGAGAAAAGTAAGACTATACACATTGTGACTTGTAGGGAAATACAGCAGAGCTGTTAGGAAGGAGCTCAGGCTCTGGAATCAAACTGGCCAGGACTCATGTCCCCTGACTGTCAGAACTAATGTGCTGCAAACAAGATAATCAATAATGCTAACAGTAAGCATTCAGTAAGTGTTAACTTATTTCTTTTCCTCTTTTTTTTCTACAAAATATTTCATTTAAGATCAGAGATTAGGTTTTGGACATGGTAAATCTGAGCTGCTTATTGGACATCTAAGTGAGGTTTTCATGTAGGCAAGTGGATACTAGGGTCTGGAGTTCAGAGGTGGGAGAAGGTTAAGAAGTTGGGGGGAAGAGAAAGAACCAATGAAAGAGATGAGAAATTAGCCAACGAGATGGGAGGAAAACCAAAACAGTGTGGTGTCCAAGAAGCCAAGTGAAGAGAGGCTACAAAAAAGAAGGAATGATTGGGGGAGGGTATAGATCAAGTAGTAGAACACATGCTTAGCATATATGAGATCCTGGGTTCAATCCCCAGTTCCTCCATTAAAAATAAATAAACCTAATTACCTCCCCCCACCCCCAAAAATAACACAGTAATAAATTAAGTAAAATAAGTAAAAAAAAGTTTTTTAAAGGAAGGAATGATCAATTATATCAAATACTGCTGATAAATAAGGTTATTAGGGTGGCTACCCAGGGCAATTAGGCAAGAAAATGAAATACAAGGCATCCAAATTGGAAAGAAAATTAAACTATCTCTGTTCACAAATGACATGATCTCATATACAAAAAATCCTAAGGAATCCACTAAAAAACTATTGGAATAAATAAATGAGTTTAAGAAGGTTGCAGAATACAAGATCAATATATAAAAACCAACTACATTTCTATACACTTGCAATGAACAATCCAAAAATGTGTTTTTAAAATTCCATTTACAATAGCATCAAAAAGAATAAAATACCTTAGGAATAAAACAAAAGAAGGACAAAACCTATACCTTAGAACTATAAAACACAGTTGAAAGAAATTAAAGAAGAGCTAAATTAGTGGAAAATCTAAGTAAGCGTTTGTGAATTAAAAGATTAATGTTGCTAAGATGGCAATACTCCCCCAAAATATTCTACAGATTCAACATAATTTCTATCAAACTCCCAGTTGGCTTCTTCACAGAAAGTGACAGGCTGAATCTACAATTCATATGGAAATTCAAGGAAACTAGAGTGGTCAAAACAATGTTGAAACAGAATAGAGTTGAAGGATTCAGGTTTCTCAATTTCAAAACTTACTACAAAGCTAAAAAGTGTAGTAATAGCACATGGAGAGTTATATAGATCAACAAACTAGAATTGAGAGTCTAAAAATAAACCTTCACATTCACAGTCAGTTGATTTTTGGCAAGGGTGCTAGACCATTCAACTGGGAAAGAACAGTCTTTTCAACAAAGGGTTCATAGCAACACTACTGACAACTGGATAACTGAATATCCACATGCAAAAGAATAAAGTTGGACCCTTACTTCACACAATATACAAAAATTAACTCAAAATTAATCAAAGACCTAAATGTAAGAGCTAAAACTATAAAACTCTTAGAAGAAAACACAGGGGTAAGTCTTCATGACTTTAGATTAGGCAATGGTTTGTTAGACAGGATGCCAAAAGCGCAAAAGAAAATTTAAAAATTAGACATCAAAGTTTACAACTTTGTTCCTCAAAGGACACCATCAGGACGTCATGAAAGTGAGAAGAAAATCTATATAATGAAAGGAAAACTTTGTAAATCATGTATCTGATAAAAGGCTTGTATCCAGAATATATAAAGAACTTGAAACCTTACAACTCAATTGTAAGTAGACATATAACCCAATTTAAAATAGACAAAGTATCTTCACAGACATTTCTCCATATAAGATATGGAAATGGCCAATGACCACATGAAAAGATGTTCAACATCACTAGTCATCAGAGAAATGCAAATCAAAATCACAATGAGATAACTCTTCCTACTCAATGGGATGATTATAATGAAAACCACAGAAAACAACAAGTGTTGTGAAGATATGGAGACATTGGAACCTTCCTACACTGCTGATAAAAATGGGAAGTGGTGCAGCTGCTTTGAAAAACAGTCTGACATTCCCTCAAAAGGTTAAACATAGAGTTATCACATGACGCAGCAACCCCACTCCCAAGAAAAATAAAAACTTACATCCACACAAAAACTTGTACCTGAATGTTCATAGCAGCATTATTCATAATAGCCTCAAAATGGCCTCAAATCTGTATATCCATACAGTGAGTTATTTTTTTAACATTTTTTAATATTTTTTATTGATTTATACTCATTTTACAATGTTGTGTCAAATTCCAGTGTTCAGCACAATTTTTCAGTTATTCATGGACATAAACACACTCATTGTCATATTTTTTTCTCTGTGACTTATCATAACATTTTGTGTATATTTCCCTGTGCTATACAGTGTAATCTTGTTTATCTATTCTACAATTTTGAAATCCCAGTCTATCCCTTCCCACCCTCTACCCCCCTGGTAACCACAAGTCTGTATTCTCTGTCCATGAGTCTATTTCTGTCCTGTATTTATGCTTTGTTTTTGTTTGTTTGTTTGTTTTTGTTTTTTAGATTCCACATATGAGCGATCTCATATGGTATTTTTCTTTCTCTTTCTGGCTTACTTCACTTAGAATGACATTCTCTAGGAGCATCCGTGTTGCTGACAATGGTATTATGTTCG